CTTATATTCATAATAAGCTATTTGCAGTAGGGAATGAAACTCTATTTCCTTTAAGCAATATTTTAATATAAAACGACCAATGTGTTTTTCAAAATTATTATACCTTGTTATTCTTTATAAACAGTTTTTCTCGAATATTTCAATCCTGTATTTGCAAATGGCTTGGGATCAAATTTTCAACACATACCTTCAAATGTGATAAATCTGATCGATATATTCAGTTAACAACACAAATATAATTGAAATGTAAATTATACTACATTATGGTATTACTAAAAGAAAGAAGCCAGCAAAATGTTCAGTTGTTTCATCTTCATTAAATCATACTATATAAACTCTTTCAAATATAGAATGTGTATTTTTGTAAACTTTACTGGTTAAGTTAAGCTGATCAATATACGGTCGTATTAATTCGGTATTTTTGAGGGCAGATATTATGCTTACAGTCTTTCTAGATATGTTTGACGCCTGTGTCTTCATAAATTAATTTTACGGGCAATGCCATTTTAGGGCAATGCCATTTTACAACTCTGAGAAAAAAAATAATTTATTTTTGGGGGATAGTAATCGTGACATATACTTTAAGTATATAAAAACAAAACCAATTTATATTTCATTTTTAAGATTAATTTCAATATAATATTTATATTTATATATAAAAACAGTTTATTATTGTATATATATATTACATTATTTGGTTTATAATATTAGATTTTAACATGTATAAAAATGTTCTTGTATATTAAGTTATCCTAGCAGTATTTGATGATATATAATATGATCGTAAATAATAATTCCCAATCAATTTTAACTGTTTACCTACAAATCAGAGTGATACAACCTGGACAAGTATTATACATTAAATGCATCTTTACATATTTTGTATTAAATTACGGAAATTTATAATGCTAACATTCGGCTGAACTACAAATGTGACATTTGGTCGTATCGATGTCTTTACTTTAAGAAAATATCAGTTAAAACAGCTATAAGAGAATATTTCAAAACATATAACTAAGAGGGTATTAATCTATGCCTTATGAAATATTTTAATAAAATTTATCAACCGTTAAATTATATTGGTTCCATTATTATATGGTTGTTTCCCTAAAATGTTGTAACATAAAATTCTCTGTTATTTAATACACATGAATACTGTACGCTTAATGAATACAATGATCTAGAACAATTTTTTTTGTATATAAAGTAGGGCTTCATCCATTTAGCAATGATGTTGTGCATGCGCCACCTACCGACCGACCGACTACCTACCTACCTACATACCATTAATGTCAAACCCCTAGCTAGGACGTAGACATGACACTAGACTAGTCACACCAGAGACAGATTTGAGATCTGAATGAGATATGAATCTGGGAACCAGTCCCTATCTCTTATTGAAAATACCCATTGGTTCACTTACATGCCCAGTGTATAGCACTGATACATGCGAGGATTACCTGCATTTCTTACAAGTACACATCTAGTTAGGTGGGAAACACTTAAAGTATCTCATTATGCAATGATGGTTTCATCTTCATAAATTTTAAAGCAATGAAAACGTATTCCCTGAAGAAAAACGCCGAAGAGCCTGGTTATGTTTGGAACTGAAAGGGCGAGTTACTGTCCCTGCCCTTAAGTAGAAAACAAAGACTCAAATGCTCAAAAGAAAATGATTGAAATATTTCGTCTACATTGCAATGGTAACATTATTTTACTAGAATGTAGTTAAAATAGAGAAAACAGAATGATTAAAGAACGCCCAAAACGACAAAATTGCAAATATTGCAGTCTCTATTGCATTGCGCCTGTTCATGGACGGTTCTGGAAAGTGCAAGTTACCGCCCACGCCCCCTAGCACCGGCTTATGCAGTATTCAATATTTAAACATGTGAACATGCAGATGGATAGTCTTAAAATGAGTGTATACAAAGTGTTTATGGCGAACCTGAAAGTCAGATATATTTTAGGAAACCTGTAAACATTTACTGCAGGATGCAAAGCTGAATATCTGGTATATTTTCAAGATAGTACAGGGGTTCGAGTATTTATATTTCTGTTTCTATAAACACGTATATTTTATGGATATAATAATATTTGTACAAAGAAACATTTTGAGATAAAGTATTGATAAAAAAAGTTAATAGATTTAGATAATTATGGACCTGATATGTATTGAGAATAATTACTAGAAAGCTTGCATTGGTTTGTCAATAAAACGACAACGTAACAGAGAACATATCGGTTAACCCCTTATTTGACTCCTAAACTTCTGAAAAGAATATATTATATAATAATAATGATTATCCGATATATCATGAAACATCCTGTTAATTAGGCTCTCTAGTTCTTGCATGTACCTTCACGTGGTATAAAATGTTTATGCAAATACTTATACTTATAATCACATCCACGTCACACATAACTGACCTCTTTATCCTTTACTGACCTTTTGCTTATATTTTCATTGTTAAGTTGAGATGACTGAATTCATTTTATAATTTAGAAAACTATATAATAGTGATTGTCAAACTAGATACTGGAACATGTTAAGGATAAAAAATAAATCTACCTAAAATATAAAGAGACTGCCCCACTCTTTTATAAATAGATGTTATAGGTAATTTTAGACGGATATTTAAAGAAATCTCATTTGGTCACGTGACTTATTTAATGTCCATGCATAGATAATTATGAAATTGAAAGCAATTATAGCAAAATGTCAAATAATTTTGACTTTCACCTGTTCACTCACTTTACACCTTTGGAAGGGCATAATGTCACTTTACTAAATATATATTTACTGTAATTTTAGTCGGATATTTAAAGAAATCTCACTTGGTCACGTGAGTTATTTAATGTCCATGCATAGATAATTATAAAATTGAAAGCAATTATAGCAAAATGTCAAATAATTTTGACTTTCACCTGTTCACTCACTGTACACCTTTGGAAGGGCATAATGTCACTTTACTAAATATATATTTGAAATTAAATTCAGAAATAAACATAAGTGTTCCAAGCGCTTTGTCTTTCAGGAATTTGTTAATAACATTTTGTTTTAGTTTCAACACAATGCGTTCCAAATTTAACCTTTTATTTCCATCTTAAATAAGACCAAAAAGTTGGGACAAGCAAACAGCAAATATAGACTGACAAATTAAATCAAATATCATGCTTCATCATTTAAATATTTGCATTCCAGCATACAGTGTAAATTTGTTTATATTTTAAATTGCCCATGGTGTCGGGTTGTTGCATGACAATACTTCGTCAACGAAAGCGGCCATTGTACAAGAATATCTGAAACAGGAAAAGGTTGTCGAGCTTCCTCAACCTCCTTGTTTGCCATATCTTGCCTCTTGTGACTTTTTCCTATTTCCGTAGCTCTAGAAACACCTTGCTTGAAGAAAATACCAAACGCGAGAAAATCTAGGTTCGGCTAATATCGAGTGTCTGGACAGTATACCACGAAAAGACTATCAAAACGTATCTAAAAACTGGATTGAAATAATTAAACTTTGTATATCAACTGATGGTGAGTATTTTGAAAGATTAAGATTATTATTTTGGCATTATTTGTTAAGCACTTCTGAAAATTAACCCAATAACGACCTGTTAACGTTAGGCTAATGAATAAATGCGTTCAAGATAACATTTCATCGTGGTTTAAACACATTTATTTCAGCTCGATTGGGAAACAAGTTTTAACAATTCATATTTATCATTTAAACAAATTGAATACACAAATTTATGATGTCAATAATATGCATTTACGTTTTCAGCGTCAACACTTCAAGAGTTCACTAAAGCGTGATTGTGATTGAATTAATTCAACTTCACTTATTTGAGCTTCATGAATTTACTCTAACATCTTAACAAGTATTTGTTTAATTGGAGATATGAATTCGTGTATTTTTTAGCAATAATGAAGTTTACATTTTGATAACGTAAATTTGAACATTTAAAAACCGTTTATTCATGAGGTCGACAACGTTAATTATTAATGAAGTTGGAAGTTTAGAAACTCGAATTCATGATGAAGCTGAATTGATGCTTAGTGAAATTTATAGTTCGAATTCTTTTAGCTTCAATCTTGAATTCAAGAAGTTTAAATCGTGAGTATGGGATGTTTTAATGCAACTATCTGACTTTCGAAAGTAAATTATATATTTTAACAATCTGATTAAAATTAGCTCTAAATAACGCTCCGCTTTTATATCTAACAGTGACCAATTACGAAGGTATGTCTGGTGATCTTTCACATAGTCAGTCATCGGCAAGCATTTATTATTTTGAAAGCGATGCGGTTTCTTATTTCAACCCTGAGAAAGCCAATGCTGAGTAGGAAATTGTCACGATTTTGAGCTATATGGACAACGACAAGTTTATTCCCACAGGTAAACTGGCAACACAATCTTGCAAATTAAAATTGACTCTATTATTTCAAGTAATTTTAATAAAAAATATTTTTTTCCCCAACAAAAACCAACAATTTGTTTGACTTCCCAGGAAAACGGTATTTTGATACGTTGTCTAATGCCTGTGATTGCATGGCTAAAAATAGCTTTCTTGGGAAGTCCGAATTATAAAGAAGGCGAAACATACAAGGTCGTAATGAGATATACATAACAAAAATAAGTAGATCCGAACTTCAGTCAGATTGTACATTTTAATAATATGTTTAATGTTTGAATACATTTCAAATCTTCCTTAACTAGATTATAATTTACTTTCATAGGTATAATTTAAGTTTTTGTTTTCTTATAATTGCAAGAAAAAATAAATACAGTTTTTAATTTAAAAGAGAATCAATTTTGTTATTTTTGTAACCGTATCAATCCGTATATTTCGTGTCTAAATATGACATTTAAAATCACTATAAAGGGAGTCACTGATGTATACCGTAACTATTCAAATAACAACATTTAAAGAGGAAGTTTTAAAGAGGTCGGGAAGTAATATATCTATCCGTGTTTTACTTTTTATGTTTGTGTGTGTGTTGTTTTAGGAATGTCAAGTGATAATACCCATTTTCTCTCACGTATTCAACCGGGGATGGCGGATATTAGTATTGTGCTACTTCTTGTGAAAGCTCGATTATTACTTGATTATTTGTATAAAACACTCGATATGTCTTAAATATGTTATCACAATGCTTCTAAAATTTCTAAAACAAAGGACATAGTATAAGTATCACTTTGATTTTTAAGCATAAAGATGTAACCAATGAAATAAAGCATAATAAAATCAACATCGTTTAGTTATGCTTAAATACATGTATTTGAAAGAATATCCATAAGTTGATCATATTAATATTGATGTGTATAGTATTCTCATTTTCTAGACTGCTCTGCACATTATGAATAGCAGATAATATTGTCTAATGAAACGTCAGTATTTAAACTAGTAATGTTTGTTGATATGGTATTTACTGGTAAGTTCTTTTACTAAATGATAATTTGTCTTTTAAGAATACAAATGTGTGATTTCTTCTTACACACATGTTCCTAAATCTCATAAATGCATTTCGCTTCTATATCTTATAATGATTAAGGGAAAGACAGTTGATACTGCTGCTGGGACTTGTTGTCCAACACTTTTGCCCATAGTTAAAATTGATAAAATAATGTACTTAACCTGTTTTCAAAGGGCGAGGAAATATCATTAAAACTAAGAAAAGATATGAATAAAATTCATTACACCTTATAACAGCCTATTATGACTTTAAAATTTTAAATCTGTATCTTTTTTAAGGTAAGATTATAATGTGTATATCCATGGGATAGTATATTCTTTAAAAAGACATCATTTGTACTAGCATTGTTTGCTTATAAAATATTTGTAAAAGTATTATTATGTAATAATTCATTATCAATATCAACATATCAAGTATAAAATTGAATACGTGATGAGTTTCAATTCATGATCCATGTAGTTAAAATCGTGAATATTTTAGTTAAATCTGTAATTCATGAATATTTATTCGTGAATAGGGAAAGTTCCAATTTTCACACCTTTTTAAGTATGTTAACATTTAAAATACCTTAAAAACATGCATTTTAACTTGTCCTAAAGTAAATTATAAATTTACTTTTATAGGCATGATTTACGATTTGTTCTTCCAATTGCAAAGAAGTTAAAAGAGTTTATGAATTAAAAGCGAGTGTGTTTTCATTTTGACCGTATCAATCCGATTAATTTTGCGTCTAAAAATAACATTTAAAAAGGAGTCACTGGTGCATATTGCAACTTTTCAAATCACAACATTGAAAGAGGAAGTTTAGAACCTATTTATTTGGTAGTGATTAATCAGGTATTTACATAAGGTATTTATATATTATATCTTTTGTTCGTTTTAGTAAATGTTATAACATAATATTTATAATGTTATATTTCTAAATTATCGTGTTTTTACCGATTAACGGATACTGTAGTAATTCTTTTAATATAATTATAGGTATTGCTTATTTTTGTTTTTGTACCTTTAAATTCTGCATAAAACATTCGATATGTTAAACATATTTTATTGTAATAAATAAATATCACGAATACAAAAAACATACCTTAGTACTATTCTTGTTATTCGTCTAAAGATATAAAACAAAACAAAAAGAAGAACAATTAAAGCAGCATCGTTTGGTTATGCTAAAAGATATGTTTTCCCTTAAGTTGATCACATTATTATCCATATATATAATTCTCACTTTTAGAATTGCCTAAATGAATACGGAATAATGTTGCTTAAGGAAACGTCAGCATTCATACTAGTATTGATTGTGGATATGGTATTTAGTGGTAAGTTATTTTACTTTATGATAATTTGTACTGTTAGAATAAAAATGTGTGCATTTCTGTTAAAACGTATTCTTTTAATGTCCTGAATGCATCTATGTTGCCTTTTTACAGTTTATTTATTAATATTCCTATTTTTGTGGTCAAGTTTAGAATTATTTATTAATTGTATATAAAGAATCTGACTTAGCATATTTATGGTTCGTTACATTGTAAATGTGGAAATATATACTAGAGGAATATGTGAACATGCAAAAATATCATATTTACAGAATGTTATGTTGGCTGCAAATCCTGCTCGGGTTCAACTTGCACAAGTTGTGAACCATCTTACTTTTTATCAAATGGCTTTTGTTCACAATGTCCTCCGGATTGTGAACTATGTAACAACTTCGATAACTGTACTTTGTGTAAGCCAAATAAATTTGGTTTTAGATGCACTTCCAACTGTGATGATAATTGTCTAAGTAGTGAATGTCATGTTCAAACGGGAGATTGTGCGCAATGTCAGCCTGGTCTCTATGGCTTTCAATGTATACACAATTGCAGTTTATGCGAGAATGAACGATGTGATTTACGAACCTGCTCGAGTGGTTGTAGAGCTGGATACTATGTGTATAAAATCGGTGTAGATACAATATGTCAAATATGTCCGAAAAATTGTAAACATTGTACAAATGGAAACACATGTAATATTTGCAATAATGGTTTTCACCTCTTTAAGTTTAATGACAAAGTTCACTGTGTGTCATGTTTTCAAGAAACACAATGTCCTGACTGTGTTATTCAAGGTTGTAACCAGTGTCAAATACACAATGCTTCGTTAGTCTGCGCTGATTGTCCAGAAGGACAAATATTCAATGGTAAAACATGCGAATCAAACACATCATTGTGCTCGAAAGAATGTTCTACGAATTGTGATAGTAATGGAATTTGTAAAGGAGAATGTAATGAGGGCTGGACTGGCGAGACATGTTCAACACAATGTAACAGCAAGTGTTTAAAGTGCACAAAAAATAACAGAAATAGTTGTCTACAGTGTAAAGGTAATTTTCACTCAACCGATTGCAATTTTGCCTGCAACCCGGCATGCATAGTGCAAAGCGGTAGTCAAACATGTGCTCATGCAAGCGGATATTGTTTAAACGGATGTAACCAAACATTTTGGGGCGGAACCTGTGAGCAACCATGTCCTGGTGGATGTAAAGATCTAGCATGTGATAGAAACAACGGTACATGTACTGATGGATGTAATAATGGACTGAATGGAGATAAATGTACTCAAAGTATCACAATCGGTAAACAATTTGTATTTGATTTCTGCCAGGAATTCATTCAAAATACTTTATTTATAAGTAACTCCTTTGGATTAAATCAATTCATAATTACCATAAATATCGAGCAATCTATAATTGTTCGCCCTTAATATGGTGGTGTAAAGGGATATTGGGAATATGTTTTGCCTCTTTATATGATTGTGTAAGTTTTAATTTGAACGTTGGTAACCACATGTATAACGTGCACACGTAGTAGTTTATATGTTTTAACGTTTTAACTCGTGTAAAGTAGTGAGAAGATATAATGGCGTATAATAATCATTCTCACTGAATTTCATGTGTAAAGTATATATTACGGTGGCATTTAAGAGATATTGATCCGAAAGACTGCTTTAGTCATTTCCAGCCCGGGAATCGATTCCTCAATGTTGAGATTAAAACTTTTTCGCAGTTTATGGCAAACAAATTGTTCCAGTTATCATTAGACTATAGTTAGTGTAATATCTATCACAATTCAATGTTATATCTACAGAACCATTAAGGACAACAACAACAATAACATCAGACGAAACTATAACACAACAACAAATATTTGTGCGACGTGACGATAAAGCTCGTTATTTAACCATTGGTTACTTTTCTGGATTCGGATCTTGTGCTGCCATAGTAGTATTTGTTATATTGTTTTACATAATTAGACGAAGGTGAATGTTTTCACTAATTTAATACTATACATGATGTTTGTTCCTAATGTAAAACAAAATATTCTCTTTACTGATGATTTTAATAATAATGACAATAAACATTATGTTATTGTCGCTTTTTAATCATGATTTAATTGTTATGTTTTAAGTACTATCAAGTTAAGTATGTCGGTTGTTACTTGTTTGCATGGTTATCTATTACTGAAATATACTTTATATGTAATAATGTATAATACTATTAAAACTTTATTATTTAATACAGGTATCTGGCAAGTATAACGCACAAAGATAACAAACCTAACAATGATATTCCAACATATTATAACACAAGAACTAATTTCGGAGCTGTTAATGCTGAGTCAGCCGATGTAATAAATAATTACGAAAGTTTGAGTAATAACAGGATTCCAGATAATGTTTACAATGGTAAATGATATATTTTATAATGTAAACAATGGTCTGTGATTAAGTCTGGTTAGATCTAGAATTATGATAAGTTCATGTACTTGACTTAATATTCGTTGTTCATAATTTTAATTTATCTAAATATTTAAATATTTATATATTGATTGATTGACTAATTGATTAATTAATAATTTATTTATTTATTTACTTTCTTATATTCAGATCTTGGAACAACATTGCCATAGATGCAAGAGAAAAGTGATTTACTAGTGGAAACAACACAATGACTGTATTTTTGTTTATATTATATTCGATACATATATTACGGTGGTGATAAAAGTATTTCTATTCTTAATCACAAACATGCACTTACGACAACGAGGTAGCAGTATTGTCCCTTTGTGCGTTAACACTATAATAAGCCTTTCTTGTCCATTTTAGATTTTTCACATATTGAATTTTCCTGAAAGTGTAAAGACTATTGTTTATATTCAAGCGGTTAGGATTCCGGATGTAAATATTCAGAATTCCTCAAAGTCGAAGTAGTGTCACTTGCCTATGTATGTATACGGTAAACATCAGCATGGATAAAATATCATGGATTGCCTTCTTTTATAATCAAGATACTGGAAAATTTGTTCAAACCTGTGCACATAAGGTATAAGAAATTATGTGTGCACCAGAAAGTTGAATTAATGAGTTATGACCCATAAGTAAAAAACGTTTTTGCCTGTTAATGTTCTTTTTGTGTGAATCCAGCTACACAGTAGCTAATACTTGCAATATGCATGCTACAATGTAGTCGCGACATATAGAAAACAGAACTGTCCAGTCACCCCTCAAAACATGTGCTGAATGTGCAATCATCCGTCGACATGTGTGAATATTGATTTTTCTTGTTATGTGATATTGAGGCTACATAACATCTGATCCCAATTTAAATTTACATTTCATTTAGTTCCGCAGATTGTTTTCCCTTTTAATGTCTTTACTTTACAAACCTGCAGGATCAGATGTATACTTGTATGCAAGAATAACGCTCTCAGACTTATTTAATCTTTATAAATGTCTCGCACAGCGAACTTAAAATGCGTTTAAATGCTGTAATATATTGACTCGCTATTGGTCAGCTAGTATTAGCCACTAGCTGATAAGCCCCGCCTAAATTCACCTGGCACCACCTCTATGTAGTATCATTAGTAAATAGATTTAGTAACCAGACGGCTGCGTTGTTTAATCTCTCTACCCATGCTTGTCCAGTAACTATGTTATAGCAGACATTACATTGGCGACGAGGATGATTGGATAATACTTTTCACTTGTTTAATTAATTCTAGAGGACTTGTTAATAATAAGTTCAGTGATAAAGTTATTGTGGCTATTTTCAAGAATATAGGATTTATATAAATTATTTCAAGATGGCATCTTTTGAACTGCCAACGCCACAGCCTTTCAAAGTTATTGGACAAACTAACCAACTTATCCAGTTCATGGGACAATTACATCAAACGTTTTGAATATTACATACATGCAGCCGGAAATAACAAAAGACGAAAGAAAAAAGCTCTCCTATTACATCTGGGAGGAGAAGAATTACAAGACATATATGAGACATCAATCCGTCAAGAAAATTCTTATAGGCCAAACAGTCAGGGTTTAACTCATTACTTTAATCCAAGGAAAAACATAGCATATGAAAGACATAGATTTAGACAGAAAAACAACACTCAGATGAAAACTGTAGACGATTACATTGTCAAGACTAAAAAAAACTCTCAGTATCTTGTGATTTTCCAGAAAATACAGCAGACGACATGATTCGCGATCAAATTATAGAACATTGTACCTCAAAAGAATTTAAAGAATCAGATTTCTACGCGAACAAGACCTAACATTAGAAAAAATTCAACATATTGCCCCGCACAACAGAACTTGCAAACTTGCATGCCAATGAAATACAACAGTCTACAAGAAATCAACACAAATTAGATTATACCTATCAAAATGACGTAAATCACGTTAAACACAAAACCAACTAGACAGCGGAAGCAGTACCAGCCAAGAGCAAGACCAGCACCAAAACCGACACATTCAAGAGCTGCTACCGTTGCGGAGGCAAAAGGTCATTCTGGTCACGAATGTCTTAAATCTCGTAATATTACGTGTCGTAAATGCAACAAGCTTGGACATTATGCAAACATGTGCAAATTCTCAAAAAAGCCCACGTGCATTACGGTTAAAGGATCTCAAGAAAAATGTAAGTGTTACAAACAAGACGAATGTGTTATTCAACATAAATTCAAAAATGTCAGTCACCATATGTGCAAGTTTGAAATAGAAGGAATTAAATGTTAAATTTTGCTCATAGAATTCTGGAGCTAGTGTTTAACTGGCCTAGATTTCGCGCAACCTTTGAAAAAGGGTGAAAAACAAAATCAACATTTTCACTTCACAAATGTCATTCAAAGATCTACCCTTATGCTCAAAAAATACCTTTGAAAGTTCTTGGGGAATTGCAGAAAATGAAAATTGTGAAATTTTAAAATGAAAAGGAAACAAAAATAAAATTTCACAATTCATTGATAAAGAATGTACACCACTATTAGGACCAGCAAACTGCAGTTGATCTAGGAATTACTTTAAATTCTGCATAAAATAATGTGAAAACAAATCAAAATAACATGAATAATATTTTATCAGAGTTTTAGTGACAGATTTCAAGGATTGGGAAAAACTCAAAGATTTCCAGCTACAGCTACACATCAACAGAGATGTTAAGCCCATTGCACAGCCAAAATCGCAGAAATACTTTCAAAATGCGACAGCAAGTCAGAGACAAAATTAAACAACTACTAGATTCTGACGTCATAGAAAAAGTTTGAAGGTGCTACACCATGGGTGTCACCCCTGGTAATTTTTCCGAAAAGTAATGGAGACATAAGAATTTGTGTAGACATGAGACAAGACAAATACAGCAGTTGAACGTGAACGGTTTTCAATGCCGAACATTGACGAAACACTAGAAGAACTTAGTGGAGCCAAATTCTTCACTAAACTAGATCTAAACATGGGGTATCACCAGATAGAGCTCGAACCACAGTCAAGGAAAAATAACAACATTTGTCACAAACGATGGAATATATCGCTATCGCCGACTTATGTTTGGAATTTCCTGTGCTTCAGAAGTTTCTTTTACCAACGTATAATACAACATACACTTCAAGAACATACCGAACTGCAAAAATATTTCGGGATGATATATTGGTATATGGCACAACAAAAGAAAGAACAACATGATGCCACATTGCGTAAAGTTCTACAACGCCTCCGAGACAAAAAAACCATAACTCTGAACAAAAAGTTTAAATGTGAATTCTGCAAGACAACCATTACATTTATGGGTCACACCCTCACCGCTGATGGACTCATGCCACCATGATGACAAAATAAAGGCAGTGCTAAATACAACACCACCCCAAAAAATGTGAAAAGAAGTTAAATCTTTCTTGGACTGCTAAACTTACTGCTCGAAAAATTTCTTCCCAATTTCGCAAACAAATTTCGGAATCCTATCAGAAAACTAACAAGGAAAAAATTTCCATTTGACTGGGGAAAAAGAACAACAATCTGCGTTTGAAACTAATTAAAATCACTTATAACAAGTGCAAGTGTCATGGCTTTCTACAACCAAGAAGCTGAGAACAACTCTAATGGTCGATGGCTCGCCATATTGGTTTGGGTGCAATTTTGGTTCCAAAAACAAAATGATGGACATTTAAGACCTGTAGCATTATTGCAAGCAGAACAACTAAATGATGTTGAAAGGCGTTACAGTTCAAAAATTGAAAGAGAATGCCCTTAGCAGTAACTTGGGGATAGAAAGTTTCACACTTATCTTTTATTTGGATTAACCTTTAAAAGTAAATTACAGACCAATAAACCGCTAGTCCCAACCATTTTTCAACCAACACACAAACCTCCAGCTAGACTAGAAAAATGCTTCTTAGACTAACAAAAGTTACAAAATTCAAACATCGAAAATTTCAATTTCAGGAGCATTAAACCCAGCTGAACATCCTCTCAAGGGTCAACGTATAATTCAAGAAAAATGTGAGATAATCAATATTCACAAGGAAAGGTTACAATGATTAGTGTTGCGAAAATGCCTTGCCAATGGCTATGACCTTAGATTCAAAAATTGATAAAGAGTCATTCTCAGACAAATTCATTCAAGAAACTTATCAATTGCCATTCAGCATGATAAAATGGGGCCGAAAAAATCAAATTTCCAAGAATTTTCTACAAGTTACCAATGAAACTGGTCAGTACATAATAAACAATTGTGTTACGGGGAAAACAGAATTGTAATTTTCCACCAGGGACTTAGGCCAAAAATTTATTACAAATAGCACTGAAAACAACGTTCAACCAAGGCATAGGAAAACAAAAGCAAATGCTAGAGAAAAAGTTTTATTTGGGCCTGGCATTGACAAACGAAATTGGAAAATGCTGATTAAAACGTGTGTCCAGTGCCACTTAGTCTCAAAAAACCCGCCACGCAACTTCATATCACGCCAAACGAATTTACCAGAGACAAACCCTGGGCAAATTGTTGGGATGGATTTAAACAGGAACCGCTTCCCAGGGGGAGAATATATTCTTGTAGAAATTAGATTACTACTCTCGTTATCCAGAAGTTAAAATCTGAAATCAATCACTTCAAATGTATCATTCAAAGACTTTGAAAATATTCGCCACAATGGACTTCCGTCAGTGATTTTAAAACGGACAATGCACCCAAACATGGTATCTTCGAAGAAAATCACAAATTTTCACTGCAAACGGAATAAAACACCAAACGTGTTAACGCCTTATTATCCACAAGCAGCAGGATTGGTAAAAAATTTTAAAAAAAAACAAATTGTAGCAAAAATGCGTTAAGAACTGCAACAATGGAAAGAAAAAACTTTTTTTTCTTCCTTTAGCGAACAGAAAATCTACAAAATTTTTTGATGGACATATCGGAACAAAAACCCCCATTATCCAACAGCGATCCGCACCTGCCATCCCTTATTATTCAACAGAAATAATTGGGAATAAACTACCGCACTTTTGAAAGAAAGAAAAAATGACAACAAAAAGTAAGAAAAAATGGACTCATTACCCAAAAAACAAAACATGAAAAAATACGGCAGACAGGGCAGGCAAATACTCGCGATTATAACATATAAACTTGGAACAGAAAGTGCCTTTTTTAAATAAACAAACATCAAGGAAAAATAGACTCAAAAATGGGAATAATTGAAATATACACTGTTATTTGGACAAACGGGAAAATCAAGTTGAAATTAAAATCAAGACACAAATGACATTGTGAGAAGGCATATCACTCAGATCCGTCCATTTTATCAGAGATAAACTGTCGGACACATTTCTCAATGGAAAAACAAACTGGACCATTACAGAACTAACCATTTTAAAACGAAAAATTAATGACTGTTTCAGGAAATGATTTACTTTAAATTAAATAGCAATAAATGCTATCATTCAAACTGCTTAGAGGAAAACATTAAGATTTCAATCAGTGTAACATTATTTCTGAGACTGTTTACAAAAATGTTCTAAACTTTATTGCTTGAAAACTTTCGTGGCGTCTTAGATTAAAATGACCATTTTATTTACAAATTTGACATGCTAAGATTATGTTCATGATTATAAATGCTTTTATTTCAAGGGGATTTTGAGGGTTCATGAACTTTTTTAAACTACTTGCATGTTATTCTTCTGAGAAAAAGGCGGATGTAATTATTGACTCGCTATTTTGGGTCAAGCTTAGTATTAGCCACTAGCGGGATAAGCCCCGGCCCTTAAATTCACCTGGATCACCTCTATTGTTAGATCATTAGTAAATAGATTTAGTTTAACCAGAACGGCTGCGTTGTTTAATCTCTTCTACCCATGTTTCCAGAACTATTGTTATAGCAAGACATTACAAATTGCTTGCAGATGAAGCGACGAAAAAACTTTAATACTTGCATAATTATGTTAATCTCATGAAACATTGTTATTATAATAGGGAATTTAGGCGGTGGTCCACTGATGCATTTTTATAATTCAAACTTTTAATAAAATATGCACCACTTTGAAAAACGGAAATTTATTACTAATATTTAGGACTTTATTACTGGTAAACTATTCCCTTTAGCAATATTGTATAATGGATATCTTTAGGGTAAATATTTAAAATATACAGATATAGTTTTTTTAGCATGTAACATTATTTTAACTTGTTTAGTCTTTATTAATGGGCCTATTCTTCTGAGAATTGCAATTATAATTGGCAAAAAGGCGGAAAAATAAAGTTTTAACATACCATCCATTTTGTGATGAATCTAATTGATTT